CAATCAGTTGTGAGGGTGATGGGGGGGGGAAGCCATTTTGCCTGCTGGCCTTCATGCCAACAGCCTCCTTTCACCCTTCCCCCGGGAATGCTGTATGGCTGGGAGAACTGCTGGCTCTAACTGCATTTCATTTTTAGTAAGGTGTTTTTCTCCCATAGATTTCATGGAGACAACTCAATTTCATGATTTCCATGAAATCCATGCAGTCATCATTTGAATAGGTCCCTAGTTATCTGACATGCCTCCAAATGTAGAATTGCATATTCCCTGCACTATCATAGCTGCAACAACATTACAACACTACTATGTGAATTAGCTCAAAAGAGATCTGAATTTAATTCAAACGCTGAATAACTAGAGATCTGCCTGTCATTCATTATTGGACCGGTAATAACACTTAAATATTGATCTTTTCTCAATACTGCCATTATTTCTATTTTCCATATTATTTAATGGTTGGTCTAGAAGTCTTTATTTCTAGTCACAGGGCCATAGAGACAAGTAAAACTAAGAATCATCCAAATCATTGTAATCCTCAGAACCATTCCATTCTAATTTGAGTGTTTGTCTGGGACTGAACCAGACCTTCATTTTCTGAAACAGCTCACTATTTCTCTAGAATTTCCATTCTAGTGAGACTAAATGGAGAAATTGAGTGAAGACAATATTTAAGAAGACTCCAAATCTTTAGAACATATGATTTCTGTCAGTCCTGCTCATTATTAACAGTTTGCTCGCTAGATTTCCACATACATCAAGTATGATGTGACATTTGACATGATTCTTAAGAGATCTGGAGTCAAAAGGGGAAAAAAAAAACTAGGCAAGAAGGACTGAAATGGGAGAGCATCAGTGGAAATTTCCTTTTGTGACTGTTCTTATTGACATGGTAACAAAATGTTTGTGTGGTGAGTAAGCATGAGCAACTGAGGATTCTGATGCAATTCCAGGCTTAAACCACTCATTATTTTGCAGCAAAAAAGCTCACTTCATATTTTGCTATATATCTGCTACTGCTTAGTCCTGACAAATGCTTGAGGTGAACTTTGAGCCCAAATCTATTCTGAGGAATTTCATATTTGTTTACAATGGGCTCAAGATAAAAGAAAATTTGCAATCTCTCAGAACAGGCTAGGGTGATTTTCTGCACTTACCAAGGTCCAATAACATGCACTACTAAGCAGGGCCCCAAAAAGTTATCTACCACTATTCACTCACTTTTCTCATTTACTCCAAGTAACTGCTATTACAATACTCCTCTCTTCTCTTTAAGCATGCCTAAATTTGCAGATGCTTACTGTGCAGTAACTTGCTGTACTCATGAGTAGATTTGCTACTGGTATTTTCTTCACAAATATTGTCTTTACTCTTTTTCCATTTGCTACTTGTAGCAATTTTTACTCATAATTAGTTACTGCACAGTAATGCACACATAGATACTGACTAGGAGCAAAATTGCTCCTGGTTAGCCCCACCACTAGAGGCCACCCCCAGCTCCACCATTCAAGGCTTGGAGAACTTTCAGCCCCAGGGCTGGTGTGCCTCTTTGCTTGCCCCAGCCCCTGGCCCTTTAATAGCTTGCAAGGATGTTGGGGTCCTGGGCCACTTCCAGTCAACCATGGGCCACTGTGTATCCCTGCAGAAGCCTACCCAAGCCCCGGCACTGATCCCTGGCCAGACCTGCACCATCATGATGTGCTGGGTGCTGCAGGCACCTACTAGGCATGGCAGCACCCTGGGACCCCTACACCCAGCTTCTGGCCACCAGATCCCACTCCAGCTAGTCCCAGACCACCTGAAGCAGCCTGTCTGGACCCTGCCATTGGTGCCCAGAACACCATCACTGCATGCCTGCCTGTCTGTGATATGCCCCTGTGTTAGGTACTGCAGGCACCAGCACAAGGACTGTCATGCAGAGACCCAGTGAGCCATCAAAGGAGCCAAACTAGCATCCTCTCCAATGCCATATGCTGTCTTGTTGGGCACCAGCCCATTCCAGGGGGAGACTGTGACCTCATTGTGTTGTGGGATGAGGTGGAGGACTTCACCCAGTTTGTGCAGAACAGGCTCTCCAACATGCATATTTATGAAGGGCTATCAGGCCACTGGGCATAACTGGTCAACATGACAGTGCTGCATAAAGGTCAAGGCCTTGTGGACACAGTGGGTCACAGTCACCACCCACAACCACCAGTCAGGAGCTATCCACAAGTCCATGCTCTTTATGCATCAGCTGGGTGACATCCTCATGCCTCAAGACCCTGGCCTGAACCATGCCATTTACTTGAGCATGGGCAGTCTATCTGAACCTCCACTACAGCCTGGCACCTATGGTGATGCATCACCGCTGGAGGGCCCTTCAGCCTGCCCCATCTTTGGGGAGAAGGAGGGATATGGCATCTCTGAAAAGTAGGGGGAAGAGGAGATGGGTTTTGTTGTTAGGGAGGAAGGGGGATGTGGGGGTCTTTTTCTGTGTAGGGGAATAAACTGCTTTTCTAAGAAATGTCCATCATGACTGTGGTGCTGGGGATGCATGGTGGAGCAGGGGTCTTAATGGCTGTCCAGGTGGGCTACAGCAGGGGATGCAGGAGGATGTGATCAGCCAGCACCTATTGCACCCTGGCCTCCATTGGCAGGTGTGCAGCTCACCTGGGTTCCTGGTGGGAGGGGCCTGCCTCTGTGGCTGCCACTGAAGCTGGTGCTCCTGGTGCCAGGCATCCTCCTCCTGCTGCACCTTCTCCACATAGGCCTCATGAAACAGCTCTCCTTGGGCCTTGCAGATATTATGCAACATTCAGGCTACAGCAAAGACCCAGGGGATGTTGGCCTTGGTGAGCTTGAAAGAGGTGATGAAGGTGCACCAGTGTCCATTGAGGTGGCCGAAGGTGAACTCTACCAGGGCATGGTTCCAGCCCAGGTACCAGTTGAATTGGACCTGGTGGGGGTTCAGCTGGCAAATGTAAGACCACATGAGCCAGGGGAGAAGTGGGTAGGTGGGGTTAGAAGAGATGAGACCACCACCATACCCAGCTGGAGGTCCAGCATGCCTGGCATGAATTCCCCACTCTTAACAAGGGCTGAAAGGGAAGAGTTGCAGAAGAAGTGGCTGTCATGGGCTCTGCCCACCCCACCAGCACTCACATTCATGAAAGTGCTGCAGTGGTTGACAGAGGCCTGGAGCACGATAGAGTAGAAGCCCCTCTGGCTGTAGTAGTGGTGGTTGCTACAGGGCAGGCAGGTGATGGGGATGTAAGTCCCATTCAGGGCCCTGATACACTGGGGGAAGCTCAGGACATGGAACACAATATTACTGCCAGGGGTTCATGCATGTGGAGCACAGTGTGCCCCAGCACATCCTGGAGGGTGCTGCACACCTCCAGGATGGCCTCCCTGGTGGTTGCCTTGCCCACAACAAAGAGGTGGCCAACATGGCGGAGGCTAGCAGGTATGGCCATCTTGGGCAGGGCAATGGCCAGTGGGGTGTCCATGGGCAGGGGCCACCATGTGGTAGTGTCTTGCTACTCCAGGTGTGGACAGAGTTGCATGAGGCAGTCCTGGAAAGTGGCCTGGGTCATGTGGAGCAACTTGAGCCACTGCTTATTGTTCCAGGTGGCCTGGATGATGTGCAGCCACCAGACCTGGCTGGTCAGGTGGGCCCAGAGGCAGCAGGGCTGGAGGCCCAGAAGGGCATGGACAGCCCTGGTGGTGGCATCCAGGAGCACATTTCTGGCATCCCTACCAGGGTTCAGGCTGCAGCAGCATGGTGGCAGGGGGTCTGGGATGCCATGGGGAGGACACTCAATGCCCCAGTGTTCACTAATGGTTAGCACTGGATCCCTAATAGCCCCTAGTCACCCAAAGACAAGATGTTAGGGAGCCCTGTGAGGAGCCTGCCTTGGAAAACTCACCCTACTGACCTTCAATCAGCTGACTGTCAGTAGGGAAGCATTGTCCCATAGGAGTAACCCTCCCAGAGTTCCAGAAGAGTTGCTGTCAAAGGGGCAGGTACCTCCTCCTGTACTCCTTTAGGTTGACCTGGAAGTGGGCGTGTGGATTCTCCTGTGGCAGTGAGCCTACCAATCAGCTGACGGATGGGGAAAGCATTTTCCTGCAGCTGGAAGCTTCCCAGGATTCCCACTCTGTGCACTTCTCCAAGCTGCCACAAGCTATCCTCTTATAGAGAGAACTGAGAGGGTTCCCACCATGGGGAATGCCCCTCCCCACCACCACCTATCCCACCAATCAGCTGACTAGCAGGACAGATGATCATTCTCATAGGTCTGTAACCAACAGCCAACTGCCTATTGACAGCCTGCCTCCTCCCACAGCATGGGGAGAACAGGCTGCCAATCAACAGGTAATGGTGATCCAAGGGGCATCCCTCTAGTACCCTCTGCCTATAGAGCTCATTTGGGTAGAAATTCTTAGTGCTAAAACTGAACACCTATCCATAGCCTTAGATTTGCTCTCCAGTTGCACATTTGAAAAAAAAATAGTGTGGAAAAAAATGTTTACCCCAAATGCAATGGAAACAAAGTTGTAAAAGTAAAAAAACTAAAGGTGCATAAGGGATGTCAAAACATTTTAATACTGTTATTTTAATTATAGCAATAATTCTAATTAGCATTAATACTCCTCACTTAACCCCTGGCGTCAGGTCATTTGAACCCAAGGAGGAGTTGATTCATATCACTGCAGTACAAAGGAAGACCCAGAGGTACAGGTCCTAGAACAGAAATTTACCACTTTGGAGTGAATCAGTCCTATAATTTCAATAAATATTATAAACAATCTTTTTCAAAACCAAGGACATTGGTCTTCCTACTTGCTTGAGTGTGGTTATTTATGTGTAAGCATTTGTGTAAGATCAAACTCTCCCTGTACCAGATCTTTAATTAGTATTCACGAGAATACACATTACTCTCATTTGGTAGTGCATCTAGATTTGCAGCCAGTTAATAGGGCACTGAGTTGATTATTTCCTTTTGCCTCTTTCACAGATTGTAAAAGACATGCAGCAAATGAAAATCAGACACATGAATATAATCAATGAGTTGGACTGCATAAGAAAAGAAAAGCAGGTAATTCTCATGTAAGATTAGCATAAATATACAGTTATACTGCTAATTGTGTTTACTATCTATGAGCACCAAGGGCCAAATTCTGTCTCATTTACATATAAACTAGCTAACTTCCCTGGTACACTGAAGCCTGTGGTTAATTCTTATCATCACTGATTGCATTCCTTGATTTGCCATATTTACTTTCTTTGTTCTTATTTGACTGTTAAGTGTAGTGAACACTCAGCATATTTCTAACCTTAGTTGTCAGTAATTTTCTTGCTTTAGGGCCTTGTTACACGTTAAACTGTGAACACAAATGTTGATCAGTGTTAGCACTAGCTGGAGTTTGGAGCACTCACACATTCAGGCCAGCAAAGGCTGGGAGGACTGAAATATAAAGATCCCTACTCTCTCTCCATTTGGGATTGCCTCCAGTCCCCGGGGCTCCCTTAGTCACTGTTCCTACCCTCAGGTCTCCCACCTGTCCTGTTTAGTTGTGGCTGCCAACACTGGCTGTCCCAGGGGAGTAGGCAAAGTTAACCTGCCTGTCTAGCTACTGCTATTGCTGCTGGACTGATGCTCTTCTCTGGGCTGACCCATTCCAGAGAACAACAGCAGTGACAGCCCCCGTAGGCAGGTTAACCCTTCCCTGTCTGCTCCCCCACAAGAGATAGCACAGGCAGCCACAAGTTAGCAGGGGGGGCAGGGCTGGGGGGGGGGGCAGTGAGCAGGCATCTGAGGTGCTAGAGAGGCTGCAGGGGTGTGGGGGGGGCAATCTGGATCAGTTGGGGAGAGTGGGGTCTAGTTAGGTGTTAATGTGTGGACAATCCATGTGTTAAGAATACTAGAAGCTGCCAAAATTACTCTGTAACAAGGCCCTCAGACTTTCCCTGTAGCTGGCAGCTCCCTCTAGTGGCTGACTTCATGGATAAAACAACAAGGGTTTTGTTTGGTAATACCTTCTGTTGGACAAACTATATGGCTGGAATAGATGTCAGGCATTTTTTTGTGTGTGCCTAAAGTGCCCTTCCTCATGTCTGGAAAGAAACAGATACAATTTAAATCAAATGTCAGATGTAATAATGGTTTCTGTTGAAGTTCATATATAAAAGAAAAGAGTCACTTCAAAGAGTGGACAAGGGCTATAAACTAAAGGCAAAGGCAAGTTATCAGAAGTAGCCTCAAAGCAAGAGACTACCAGTTAACAAAAGTAGCATTGAAGCAAAAGAAGAAGACCATGAATGGAGAATGTACTAATACATGGGAACTTGGGCAACAGTGACCATGAGGTGACTCAGTTCAGGATCCTGAGGAAAGGAAGGATGGACAGCAGCAGAGTAAGGACCCTGGACTTTAGTAAAACAGACTCTGATTCACTCAGATAAGTAATGGGCAGGATTCCCAGGGAGGCCAGTCTGAGGGAGAGAGGAGTTCAGGACTGCTGGTTATGCTTTAAAGAAACTTTACTGAGGGTATAGGAACAAACCACCCCAGTCCACAGAAGAATTAGAAAGTATGGCAGAAGTGCAGCTCTGCTTAGGAGAGAACTCTTTAGTGAGCTAAAACACAAAAAGGAAGCTTACAAGAAATAGAAACTTAGACAAACAACTGGGGAAGAGAATAAGCATATTGCTTAGGCATTCGAAAATGAAATCAAGGTCAAAGTGCAATTGGAGTTGCAGCTAACAAGGAATGTAAAAGGTAACAAGAAGGGTTTCTGCAAGTATGTCAGCAACAAGAGGAAGGTTAGGGAAAGTGTGATTCCTTTACTGAATGGGGGAGGCAACCTAGTGACAGATCCCAGACTACTGCATCTGGCAGCACTGTTTGGGAAAGAGGTGAATAGCCAACTGTGGTGAAAGGACAGGTTAAGGACTATTTAGAAAAGCTGAATGTGTACAATTTCATGGGGCCAGATGCACTGGCCATTATCTTTGAAAAATTCTGGCAATTGGGAGAGGTCCTGGATGACTGGAAAAGAGAAAATACAGTGCTGATCTTTAAGAAAGACAAGAAGGGAACTACAGACCTGTCATCCTTATTGCAGTCCCTAGAAAACTCACCCACAAATTCTGAAGGAATCTATTTCTAAGCACTTGGAGGATAAGAAAGTGATTAGGAACAGTCAGCATCGATTCACCAAAGGCAAGTCATGCCTGACCAACTTGATTGCCTTGATCTGTGGATACAGGAAGACCAGCAGATGTGGTATACCTTGATTTTAGCAAGGCTTTTGATATGGTCTCCTACAAGCAAGCTAAGGAAGCATGGGCTGGATGATTGGACTGCAAGGTGCATAGAATGCTGCCTGGAGCATTGGGTTCAGAGGGTACTAGTCAATGGCTCAATGTCTAGTCTCGTCTGAGAGGGAGAGGAATTCAGGAGATCTATACTCTATAGAAGCCTTACTGAGAGTGCAGGAACAAACCATCTTGATGTACAGAAAGACTAGCAAGTATGGCAGAAAACCAGCTTGGCTTAACAGGAGACTCTTCAATAAGCTAAATCACAAAAAGGAAGCTTTTAAGAAATGGAAACTTGAACAAACAACAAGGGAGAAGTATGTAAGTATTGCTTGGACATGCAGGGATGAAGTCAGGAAGGCCAAAGTGCAATTGGAGTTGCAGCTAGTAAGGGACATGAAGGGTTTCTAAAAGTATGTCATCAACAAGAAGATTAAGGGAAGTGTGGGTCTTTTACTGAACTGTGAAGGCAACCTGGTGACAGAGGATGCGGGAAAGGCTGAAGTACTCAATGTATTTTTCACCTCAGTCTTCATTTCTAAACAATACTTATCAAAAGACTTACTGAAAATCTCCAGTGAAAGAGATCCCACAGCCTCACTAGAAAGTCTGCTATCATGTCACCTCCCAATTGTCTTTTCTATCTTTCCTAATATGGTTTGCCTTCCAAGCCTTTTATAATTTTTGCAGCCTGCCCCTGTACTCTCTTTAATTTCTCCACACTCTTTAAAACATGTGGAGCCCAAAACTATATACAGTACTCTAGATGAGAGCTAACCTAGATGGGCAAAGAGGCACCATTACCTCTTGCATCTTGCACCTAATGATGCAGCTCAAAACTGCATTAGCACTTTTGCAACTGCATCATACTACAGATTCATACTGAGTCTGTGATCCACTGAGACTCCTAGATCCCTTTCCATAGTACTGCTTGTCAGCCACTTGTCATCCATTTTGCATTTGTGCTCTTAGTTATTATTCATGTGTCCTAGTATCTTGCATTTGTCAGCATTGAACTTCATCAAGATCCATTTGAATTGTGCTCCTGTCCTCCAGTGTGTTTGCACTCCTTCCTAGTTTCATGCCATATGCACATTTACTGAGGAAGCTCTCTATTCTAACATCTAAATCATTAATAATTTTGAACAGAACAATGAACAGCACTAGGCCCAGGACGAGACCCCTATGGGACTCCTCTAGAAACCTCTTGACATTCAAACAGGGATCTATTTGTAATTACTCTTTGCTTGTAGCTATTGATTCAGTTGTCTATCCACCTTATAGTAGTTTTGTCTAGCTCACAGTTCTCCAGTTTGGTTATGAAAGGGTCGCACTGGACTTTGTTAAAAGCTTAGTGAAGTTCAGATACGTTATGAGCATATCTACATGAGACACTTACTGTGCAGTAGCCTAATAGCACTGTGGAGTAGTGTACTGGTCAAAACTTGTATTAATACGGTACTGAGCAGTGCTATTAGGCTACTGCACAGTAAACATAAAAAAACCTTGTGCACTGGTGCTATTGTGCAGTAGCACAAGTTACTGAACATTGAATCTGTACTTAGTTAACCAAGTACTAAACTTAATGTGCGGTAACTAGGATGCATTAATGAATATGTAGACACGCCCTATATCTATTGAATTCCCTCCATCAACTGAGATACTTACTTTGTTGAAGAAGGAGAGAAAATATGTTTGGCATAGTATGTTCTTGACAGATCCAGACTGGCTAATCATGAATGGCCTATCATTGAATCAGAAAATTAGGGTTGGAAGAGACCTCAGCAGGTCATCTGGTCCAACCCCCTGCTCAAAGCAGGACAATATCCAGCTAGAACATTCTAGTCAGGTCTTTGTCAAGCCAGGCCTTAAAAACCTCCAAGGATAGAGATTCCACCAACTCTCTAGGTAATCTGCTCCAACGCTTCACTACCCTCCAAGTGAGAAAGTTTTTTCCTAATATCCAACCTAAACTTCCCTTGCTGCAACTTGAAACCGTTGCTCTTTGTTCTGTCATGTGCCACCACTGATAACAAGTGGTGCTCTTTCCTCCTACAGATGCTTGCAAATGGATTTCCTTATCATATGTTCCATCAAGTACTAGGGTATGAAGTTGGGCCTACCACTTTATACTTCCTTAGGTGCTTTTTTTTATTTTTATTTTTTTGCCTTTTTGAAGAGAATCACTATTTCAGCCTTTTTCCAGTCCTCTGACAGCTTACCCATCTCCCATGACTTGCTAAATCTTATTGCCAAGGGCTCTGAGATCCCCTACTGCCAGTTCCTTCAGTACTGTGGGATGATGTTCATCAGACACTGCTGACTTGAATTCATTCAAACTGATTCAGAGTGTCTCTTTCATTATCTCACCCCCCAACTTGTCCTGTTCATTACCTAAAAATCCTTATTAACTGTCTGGTTGCACTCATTCTTTTTGTGAAGACTGAAGAAAAGTAGTTGTTGAGATGCTTCACCTTCTTTGCATCTTCTGTTACAAGTGCTCCTTGATTATTTAATAGTGGACCCACAATTTCCTTGGTCTTTCCTTTCAGGAAAACATATTTAAAAACCTCTTCTTGTCTTCAACTTCCTCTTTCAGATGTAGCTCAGTTTTTACTTTTACCTCCCTGTTTTTGTTCCTGAAATTTCTTGCGATTTCCTTGGTGGCTTGCCCATCCTTTCATTGTCTATGTGTTTTCCTCTTGAGGCATTCTAGAAGCTCATTGTGCAGCCACATTGGTCTTTTACCGTTCTTTTTATGCTTCTATCATGTTGGAATAGCTTCTTCTGGAGTTTCCAGTGCTGTACCCTTTAGAAGTGTCCAGCCCTCCTTGGCTCTTTATCCTTCAGGCTTTCCTCCAACGGCACCTTACCATGGCAAGTTGTTCACCTCTTATTCTTGTTACCTGCTTCTTCACTGTTCTGCCTCTAACACCTTGTATGCTGTCTCCAGTCCAGGGAGAAAAAAGCAGCTCATTCCTAGGTGGATGTCACAATTCACATGCAAACACACTTTATTCTATCCCAACAAACAAAAATTTTGGCACCTACACAACATATTCAAAAGACTTTGTAAACAGTAAAAAGAAAATGAATTAAAGATATGAAGATTGCAAATCTAGACTTATGAAGGTTCATTGTGTGTAGTAGTATACAATGGCTTTTCTCCTGGATAGGGAACAGAACCTTACCCTGATACTCAAATTACCACACCTGCACAAACTTTACAATATCTGTGCAAATACAGCCCCACACCTCATTGGTTTTGACAGACAGACCTGAACATGGCGACAAAGAGACAAAGAGCCTATTGCTTTCATTCATTACATCAGCTTCAGAGCAGTAAACTTGCCCTGATTTTAATGTCATTTCTATTCCTTTACACTACTATGATCATCCAAATCATGCCAAGAGATCCTAAAGCCATGGGACATATTTTTAGCATTATAATTATTATTTGTACATACTCTAATCTGAATATTTTATTATTCTTTTTATGTGAAACTGGGTGCAGGCTAAGATACAGTAATATCCTGTAACTCTTGTCTTTGATTTAATTTCTCTCTTGAGTTTCCTAATCAAACTCTATGTATTTAAGATAACTTGATCTTAAGTTGCTCTTACAAGGAAGCAATCCATTCTTAAAACAAATATACTTCTGAACTGATCAGCAAGTGGGAGAAGGGTTGTGGAAGGATAGAGAGAAAGAGAGAGAAAGGAGTTGGGGGAGAGAGAGAAAGAAACAGAAACTACCTAACCAGGAGTGTTTGCTCCACAAGTTTGCTACACAAAGTCTTACAGGAATGAAGAAAATCTTACTGGGGACAAAGAGGGGTAAGAATAGAGTACCAAGATTTTTATATGAAACTTTTTCTTCTCTCTTAGCTTTCCTGATTTCAATTACTCTTTGTATAGGAACAGGCTGTAATTGTTCTGAAGAATCATTACAGTGGCAAAATAAAGACCCTGAGAGCCCAATTGGAAGCCTACCAAGAGCTCGTAGACAAGAGGAATGGGGACTGGCAAGATATGATTAAGGTAACAGAACTAAAGAATTTAGCCTGGAGATAAAAATTACAGACTTCCTCATCTGGGAGTTTCTGTGAAATGCATACAGCGTCTTAGGCCCCTTGTACACATTACATAGGGTTATCATACATGTTTTCCCGGACATGTCCTCTTTTTAGATCCTCCAATCCAGGTCAGGGTGGTTTTTTAAAATGCAATCAAATGTCCAGGATTTTGTTCTGCTCCTGGCTTGCAAGGAGCTTCTTGGGGCTGGGGACAGGGCAGTTGGAGGCAGGACACACACACACATGTCGTTGGAATGTAACCAGGAAGGAGGTGGGACCAGCCTGGCAGGTGGATGTAGGTAAGTCTGTGGGGGGCGAGGGTTGTGTGTGTGTGTGTGTGTGTGTGTATGAGTGGTTGCGGGGGGAGGTCCAGGGCTGCAGCAGGACAGGGAAGGAGTATGCCCTGGACACATGCCCCTTCAGTGGGGGAACATGTGGGGGGAAAGGGGTGAGGGCGGAGCAGCAGGGAGATATGTGGCTGGCCCAGTGGCATCAGGGCCAGTGCCTGTGCTCACAGGGGCAGGGTTGGGGGGAGCAGGGAGCTGCAGTTCAGGTGAGGGTCACTGGCAGGACTAGAGGGGCTGTGGCTTCTCAGTGAGGGGCATTAGGTGGGGCAGGGGGCTTTGGCTTGGGAGTGAGGGCAACAGAATGAGCAGGGTCAGGGCACTGACATATCACTCCCATCCCCCCCAGTCCTATGCCCCTCTCCCCCCACATGACAGGTGTCCTCCTTTTTGGAACTGGAAATATGGTAACCCTACATTACATATGTTACATGAGTGGCTGATGAATTCCACAATAAATTTAGACTGGCCATAAGTGCAAAATAATTATCACATGTTTAATCACACAATAAATGTAGATGAGCCATGTGCAAAGTAATTATCACACAATAAAATTACTATCTAGGTATAAAAAGATTTCATAGTTTTCATAGACATTAGGGCTGGAAGGGACCTCGGAAGATCATCGAGTCCAGCCCCCGCCCAAAGATCAGAAAGTCAGCTGGGGTCATAGGATCCCAGCAAGATAAGCATCCAATTTGCCCTTGAAGGTGTTCAGTGTAGGTGCTTGA